CCGCCTCTTACTCCCAGTGATGTCACTTTGGCCACCTCATCACCAGCTAACCCCCTTCCAGTCGCCCTTTCTGCCATCAGATGTGGTAGGGGTGGCAGAGGTGATTTTCTCTTTACTCCGGCTCTAACATGGTGCGCTGTCCAGAATCCCCTAACCCGAGGCCCTTCAAACCACGAGTCATTACTGAAGGAGCCCGGGGAGGGAAGAGCCAGGACTCGCCCCTCCTGAAGGGAGGTTGGAGACTCAGCCTTACCCTTTTTAACTGGCAGGGTCCCTGAACCACTCCTCCCTGGGTAGAAAGCGAGTTGGGGAAACTTTCTGGGAGTCTTAGAGCTCAGAAATGCCGGAGGAGACGAATGCTGCTGCATTTGAAATCATAACTTCCTTGACGTACCCAACACCACCACCACCACCAACCCCCTTGCAGCAAAACATCCAGGGAGCCATCTCCCGGCCTCCAAGACTCTCTGCCAGTACTCAGGTCCCTAACAATACCAAGGGCAGCAGGGCAGCTGCTGCTTCCACGATAGGATGGGCGAGCTGGATGACAAATGCCCCGTCGCCTGGGGGAATAGGAAGCCCCCACTACCACCACCACCACCACCACCACCACTGACTTTTCCAGGTCTCGGCCGGTCCCGGCCGTGGCTTCCCGGGCAGCGCCCCCTCTCTTCACATCTCAGTTCTCTAAACGCATCACTCAGAGTCGGGCACGCCCGGTCCAGCCCAGCCTTCCCTGGGGTGATACCGCCCAACAATGGAGCAACGGACAGAGGTGGCGGGGCGCACCTCGCTTTCCTACTCTGGTCATTCTGGCGCTCACCTTGCTCCAGGTCCTGCTGGTCATACCAGGGCTCCTCTTCCTCTGCGGAGAAGTCCTCCATCCCGGCGGCTCTCCGCATGGCCCAGCGGGCGGCGGGCGAGTGCTGCGGCGAGACTCAGGGCCGGGGCGCAGGGCCCGGGACAATGCGGCGGAGGCGGGCCGGGCCTCCCGTGTCGCGAACTCTGGCTGCAGCGCCTCCACTCGCGCCGCGACCCTTCGCCATCGGCCGCCGGCTGGCGCCCACGCGGGGCCTGGAGCGCCCCCGAGGTATGGCCGGGCCGGGGACCCGCGGAGACCCGGGCGCCGAGCGGCGGCCGCACAAAGGGTGGAGGGGCGGGGACGGTGTCGGGGACGGCGGCAGGGAGGGCCTCGGCCCGTAGGCAGGTCTAGGGCGCTAGCAGCGCGCGGGTACCGCGGCGGGCGCCTCCTGCCCGGCTCCGGCTTGCGCTGCCCCTGGCCCACCCGGCGACACCGGGAGCCGCCACTGCATCTTGGCAAGGCCCGCCTGCTGCTTCCAGAGCTCCGCAGGGTGGGACCGTTCGCCGCTGGCCAATTAGGAGGCGTATGCAAAATTGAAGGCGGGGCCGAGTGGGGCCTTTCTGGTGTCCTGGTCTGGAAGTTGCGGGAACAACCCCGTAGTCCTACTTCCTTCCACTCCCAAGGCCTTCAGTTTACGTTTCACTACCTGAAATTAGTTTATTGTTGATCTTTGTCGTCTCTCTTTCTGGATATCCTGAAAGCAAGGATTTTTGCCTTTTTCACAGCTGGCTCCTCAGCGCCTAGAACAAGCCGGTCCATTGATAGCTTCCATGGACATTCTTTGGATGAATGAATATTAATTTTAATATTAATATTTAATATTACAATTACCTTTAAGAACTTGAATATTTGTGACCCGAAACCTAGCGTGTCGAAGTTTAAGGATATATTACCTGAAATTACCTGAATTCTGTGCCTTTCTCTATAGGGCTCTGTTTCCCTCTCCTTCGGAGCCATATCCTATATCCAATTATACTCGTTAAAACCATATACTTTCGCCTATTCAAGCATTCTTTACTTAAGGGAGTTTAAAGACTCAAGCATTCATGTAACTCATTTTTTTTTTTTTAGAGACAAAGTCTTTTGTTGCCCTCGGTAGAGTGCTGCGTTGTCATAGCTCACAGCAACCTCCAGCTCTTGGGCTTAAGTGATTCTCTTGCCTCAGCCTCCCGAGTAGCTGGGACCACAGACTTTTTTGTTGTTGTTGTTGTTGCAGTTTGGCCAGGGCCAGGTTTGAACCCACCACCCTAGGTATATGGGGCTGGTGCCCTACTCACTGAGCCACAGGCACTACCCTATGTAACTAATTTTTATGGGGACCCATCATGTGCTGGTACTGTTGAGGTACTCCAAATACATCCAACTCTGAATATATACTGCAATATGCCCACCAAAAGACTTGCATAGAATATAGAAAGAGCACCTGCAAATCCATAGGAAAATGGGACCTACACTAGTAGAGAAGCAGGTAAAAGACTTGACCAGTCAATTCACAAGAGAGAAAATCCAGATGATCGAATAAACATGTAACAAGGTATTTAACTTCTTTAGTCATTGGAGAACTGCAAGTTAAAACCGCAAGGAGGTGCCGCTACCCACTCACTTGAGTGGACAAAAAACAAACAAACAAACAAAAAAGACAATACCAGGTGTTGGCAAGAATGTTGAGCAACTGAAACTCTTTTACATCAGGGCAATGGCCCTAGAAACCTGCCTGATAATATCTATGAAAGTTGAACATAGGCTGTGCAGGTTGTGGTCCCAGGCTGACGATCCCAAGATGGAGAGTAAGGTGGAGGAAGTTGATTAGGGCATGCTTTCAGAATTAACACCTACATGGAAGGGAGGGAAGGATACAGGGGCCCGACAGGGGAAGCTGGGTTGGGATGTCACCTCTGCAAAAGCCTCCTCTGGGGTGGTGCCTGTGGCTCAAAAGGGTA